AACAATGACGTGCGCGGCTTCTCTTTCCTTAAAGGCAGTTGGCACGATGGTTTCCTACTCGGCCTAAAATGCTAGTAGGGCGCTGTATAGTGGGGAAATGGCGAAAGAACGGAGTGAAACGGTCCGGCGAAGAAAAAGCCTCCGTTCTCAGTGACTTGTAAATCGATTTCGGACGAGTTTCCCGTACGCATCTTGCCAATCACCGCTACCGAAGATACGGCTGCATATGTGTACCCATATATGCATGCAGCATCACGGCCGCTTCATACCAATCCCTTTGCTTCATAATTTGCTCAGCAAATGAATGAATACGAGCGTCAGGAACGGTCGTCCGTTTGTGGGCGGGCGGGCGAGGAAGGCGTTTGGGACGGAATGTTGTTGCTCGATAGGGCGTTATAGGGGTACCCTCCTTGGAAAAGGCGCCACGGAGCGCCTGTCCGAGGTCACGGAATTCTGTTAAGCCAGTCGTATAAATCCTACATCTGTATAGCGATTTATCGTGCCAACTGCCTTTAAGCACGTGCAACCCACAGCTCAGGCGTGGGACCTGTAAAAGGCATATCCGATGATTTTTTTGCAATTTGCTTCACTAATGAACTGCTTGCTTGTTGTCACTGTCTGAGCACCATAACTCATCAAATTGAATGCGCGCGCTTGCTTCAACTTATACAGGGGTGCTCATTGTATTTTCGGCATAGATATAGAAAGAAAAAGCAGAAAATTCTGAATAAAATTTATTTCAGTGCAATCCCCCATAACCTCAATACACTTGTTTGCTCGGGAAACTAACTTTTCAATACCCTCTAAAAATATTTTTCCTCCTTGTCCCCAAAATGTGCGTTAATTGCCGCCTTCAGCTCTTCATCGTCAGAAAAACGCTTTCCAGGAAGATCTTTCTTCAATTAGAAGCAAAGAAAAACAAATATTAGAAAAGGAATACACTCCAAAGCACAGATGACCGTTTCACCCGCTATCGCGGGATCGGGGAACGAGAAGTAATGGCTCATAATTTTCTCAGTTTTCTTCCCTGACTGATGGTTTTCTCAATTTTCTCAACATTGTCGCATCAGATCTTCAGATCTTCATCCACCAAGGATGACTAGAACAGCACTGATGATAACTGAATGAAATTTTTCATTTATTCCCTCAGGGAGTGTCGTTACCTAGTGAAATGGTTCAACCTTCGTCACTGCAGAATTACCCCGATACTAGGAATACCTTGAACGGCTAAATTGAAGCAATGTGGAGCCAATGCAGTAAAAAACTAATGAAATATGAAAAAGTTGTGATTAACGAGCCCATCCTTTAAAGGCATGCAGTATCACCTGGTTTTCTGTGAAAAAACTTTGCTCCTTGTCGAGAGGAGTACGCCTTACGAACTTTCCATAAGGCAGAGGGTAATCAGAGTCATTCCTGTATGTCATCGTCGCATTGAAATAGTCGACTGGCATCTGAACAGGAACCGACTCACTGGATCACTACATAGTTTTGTGCAATTAATCGTTAATTCAATGGAAGTCATTCCAGTTTCCACCTTCTTCCAAGCCTTTCCAGCATACGGTGGTGCCTCGAACAACATGAACACCATAAGTTGATGAGTATATCGTACGGGGAGATCGTTCTCGTCTATATCACGACCATGGAAAATGTATGCGGAAGGGATCCGTGTGCCATCGTGGTCCCTGAAAGTTCATTTATGGGTCATTTGGCAATGGGACAGCTATGCAGGAGAATCAATTAATAACAGTTCGTCTAAAAGTGCGACCGGGCTCAAAGTGTGACGTTTATGATAGACGACCAGCCAATGCCGACAGGGACAGTATCCCACTGTGGAAAACACAACGGGGGTCACAGTCCACCGATATGAGGGAGGGGGATCGTGCTCCAAAAGAACCGTTGACTCGAGACTCGTCTGACTCGTTGATTCCCGTTAAAAAAAACTCGTTTTTTGCCCATAACTCAGCACTCTTGTGATAACTATTTCTGACGATTAGTTAATCGGTGATGGCTACCCCACTCTCACCCGACGGTAGATTTTCGGGAAGAAACTTGGTGAGAGAGAAGGTAGGCTGTGGAAGAGGTCGTACTCAGAGGCAAAGACAAAGTTTTTACAACGCAGGTGTGCCCTGACGTACCATTAGATGACAGTCTACGCTTCTGGATGTTAAATTGTACAAGAAATCCCAGAGTTTTTTTTTACCATAATCGCCTTCAATAATTGACAGCAAACAGTGACTATTGAAGTACATATGTACAGTGCAATTCGCCGCAGCGCTGGGGTGTATCAGAGAGGCTGACGTTATCGCGGATCAAGCCTTCTATGTTTGTTGAAGAGAGTGATCGGCAATAATTGGTGGACAATGAGCTAGCGTCGCGTTGAATTCAGCCTTCCTGGGGTACACCAGCGTCAGCAGCGAAAATTACTACAGAGGCCCACTCGATATTGGCCCAACAATATTCGACATACTTTCTTTCCACGATCTCGCATCTGTACGGGCAGTTCACCATTGTGTTGTTCAGTTTAGCGCTTATTGTGTAGTTG